ACCAATTTGAAGAAGAGGAAAATTTTCAAGAAAACCAAAGAGTAAACCCCGAAACATAATCAAACTCTACTCTCTCTGATAAAAAAGAACTCCCTTTCATCGAAATTTCTAAACCCCTTCTTAAACTCCTTATAGACACCGGATCAACCAAATCCTTCCTAAATCCCAAAATAGCCTCCCAATGCTTCCAAAGCTACATCAAATATGAATCATTTGTAGTCAGTTATATTTTCCAAAATTATGCACAAAATTACAGTGCCGAAATACCTTCTTTCCCCGAGTTCTCTTCAAATTACAGTTTAAAATTTTACCTTTTTAAATTCCACAAGACATTTGATGGTCTTATAGGCCTCGACAACCTAAAACTTCTTCAAGTTCGACTGAATTTTCCAGAATCCAAATTGATAACCGAAAATTCGATCATACCCATCCAATATTATGAAACAAATAAATCTCAATTTTTCTCAATCCAGTTAGAACCAAATTCAATTACCCGAGTCCGACTACCTGTCAAAGAATATCAAGGAACCATCCTTATTCCCAAGCAGTACATCGATAACGCTGACGTTAAAGAGACTACCGCCAATGACCAACTAGCCTGGTCAGAAATTTTAAATCCCACACCTGATCCAATTGGCCCTTTTGGAACCCGTAAACTTTCGTAAATTCAACGTCGAAGAATATTCAGATATATTTCACCGACCAGACTCTCCCCTTACATTTGCAAATGAAGTTAAACACCATATCAAGACAATAGATGAATTACCAGTCTATACGAAGTCCTACAGATATCTATACATCCACAAAGAATAAGTCAGAAACCAAATTTCCTCTATGTAAGAAGAAGGGATTATAAGACCAAGCCAATCCCCATGGTCCTCTCCAATATGGATCGTCTCCAAAAAACCCGATGCCTTAGGTAAAATCAAATGGCGTATTGTGGTTGACTACATAAAAGTAAATAACAAAACAATCGACGACCGGTACCCTCTACCCAACATCTCAGATATCCTGGATAAACTTAGACGGTGCCAATATTTTACCACATTGGACTTAGCAAGTGGATTCCATCAAATAGAGATGGCAGAGGAGGATATCCGAAAGACGTCTTTCAACGTAAAAAATGGGCATTACGAGTTTGTAAGAATGCCATTTGGTTTAAAAAATGCCCCTGCAACATTCCAGAGAGTCATGGACAACGTTTTAAGAGGACTGCAAGGAGAAATATGCCTGGTGTATATGGACGACATAATTGTATTTTCAACGTCCTTGCAAGAACACATGGTTAATCTGGCAAAAATATTCCAACGACTTCGAGACACCAAACTGAAAATTCAAATAGACAAATGCGAGTTTCTAAAGAAACAGGTAAATTTCCTAGGACATGTCATCACTCCAAGCGGGATAAATTCCAATCCTGCAGAAATTCAAGCCATCGTCAACTACCCAATTCCCAAACAACTAAAGAGATTCGTGGATTCCTAGGCCTCCTTGGATACTATCGGAAATTTATCAAGGGCTTTGCTAGGATTATGAAGCCGTTGATCAAATGTTTAAAAAAGGACTCCAAGATCGAACATATTCAAGAATTTCTCAAATGTTTTATCACCTGCAAAAGCCTTTTGACCAACGAACCATTGCTTGCATTTTAACCTCACAACAGATGCAAGCAACTTTGCTATTGGAGCCATTCTATCTCAAGGCCCTGTTAGAAGTGACAAACCAATTTCCTACGCCTCTAGGACACTAGAAGAGACAGAAATCAAATATACCAAAATGTAATAGAGGCAATATTAACTTTGATTATTTTACACCAATAAATTCCATCTAAAATATAGATTTTGAATACAGAATATTCGAATCTTTTATGTATAAATATCAAAACACCTCCAATAGAATGGGATTTGGAATTGCACCGTAGGCAGTTATAATTTTCTATAGTAATTTCAACGTCTTCGATGTCATCAGTGACTCTTAGGATTGCAGCATAAAATATTATCTTTATTTTTTAAAAAGCTTTGTGAATTTAGATATATAATATATAGAGCTTGGATTATATACAAAATGCATATAAAGTGCATGCCTGCATATTTAGTGCAGAATTTTATATTGCATATCTAAAATAATAATGCATATCTAAAAATAAAATATTGCTTATTTATCATTATTTTGTAAACATTACAATATTTTTCAATTGTACCTGCATTTTACCACGAAATATTAACCAAGTATTAAGTAGTATATTATGATTTAAGACAGTGGCGGCTCGTGAACAAAAAATTGGGGGTTCGCAATGACAGAATATAGATCTCAGTACAGATTTAGAGCAAAAACCTACTCATGCGACACGTCGCGCGCGTCTGATCGCGAGGCATCGCGCGCGGCTTTACTTTAGATGTTTTTAAATGACTCAAAGCCCATTAACGCGGTTCTGTCGCGTGGCCGCACGCGGCTGAAAATTAGAAATGACAAACCCGCGATTTTCTTGCCGCACGGCCAGCGTTATCATGGATACATATGGAGCATCACTCATACAAATGTCAAGTCGCGTGCGAAACGCCAGTTGAGAGTTGAAGTTTCCTGTTAACTTTTCGACAGTTCCAGTGAAAAAATGTCCTACAGTTAAATCGATATAGATAAATTTATATCCGATATTCAAGAACAACATCAAATATTAAACAGTTAATTGAAATAAAATAGCGACAAAAATATTTGTTTGGGAATCTGCGCTAGCATTCTGCAATATTTGAAGAACATATCTTCGTGTTGACGTAAATCCTTACATAATAAATTAAATGCGCCTTTTACATAAGGGTCTATAAATAATGGATGAACCCTGTACCTACGTCGTTTCAATTTTTACCGCTGACGAACAGAATAAAACACCGTTGGTACTTCTTCCACCTCTATTTTGATACTAAACGTCTGTGTCGCTGCTTGTCGTCTGTTAAAAATCGTACCTAAAAAATCACATGCGTCAAGTCGCGCGCGACATGTCGCGTGAGTGGGCTTTCCCTCTTAGGTAAAAAACTTTCAGTTTTTATAATACACCTTTCCAAAACACTGAAAGCTTTTCACCTAAATCTGTACTGGGATCTATATTCTCTCATTGTGAACTCCCAATTTTTTGGTCACGAGCCGCCACTGGTTTAAGATGCGTTTTTTTGTAGTATTTACATTTGATTTTTCCACTATAGTGGGCTTATTATTAATATATTTAATTGTTTTTGAATTATATCCATTATTAATTGCTTGCAATTCAGCTTTAACTTTAGCATAATAGTCACGTTGAGACTGTTTTTGATCCGCAAAATAACAATGTCAATTGTTTTTTTATTTTTAAGTATCATTTTAGCTTTTTCATGTGATTTTTAATTTAATTTAATTTGATAGGTCTAGTCTTATTAGGCTAATACTTTCCAAGTCTAAAAACTTGATATGATAGAAATCGCTGACCTATTTAGAAGTTCCCAGAATTCCTCCACTTAGCAGCTTAAATTCTACCTTATTATATAAAATACGAGTGGTATCAGGACTATCCATAATCGCATAAGCTAATTCATTATTAAAAATTCATTTAAAAATAAGCTGAGAGCATTAAATTATGTGATTATCCATAGAACTGATACCAAACGTTGTATTCGATAGATAATATTACGAATTAATAAAATATGAGAGGTCAATAATTTAGAGTTACAGTACGAAAAAAATGACAAAATATGATAGGCTTACCTACTAGAGTTTACAGCAAGAATGTAGAAAGCATGATTATCACTTATTAATCAAGTACGGTGTATGATTATTGATGAATATTCAGTTAAAATAATAGGAAATTATTACATCGTGAGTAATATTAACAGTAAAACATGTGTATTTAGTCTGACGTTAGCTTTTGTTTAATAAAATAATTAAAAATTATATTTCTATTTTAAATAAATATTTTTTTAAACTATTTTTAAAATTAAATTAATTTTTCGCATTAATTAAATACCCCATCCATTATTGCAATACCTATTAAGAAACCATCCCAGTTCTGATGGCCCATTTCCCGCATCGTGTCTAGCGTTATAGATTGATTTAAACATTAGTCATGGAATTTAAATGACTGTAATAAGTAATGCACTGGCAATCGGAATCTTCCGCTTACAATTTCTGGAATGATTGAGTGTAATTTTCCAAGCGTTGCATGACCAAATCGCATAACCAAATTGCCTAGACGAAAAAAAGACATGCCGTACATTAAATGAGAAGTTAAAAACGTTATTATCTGTAAAGATGTCAACGAAAAAGAATAATGGAAAAGTTTTAAATATTTATTGCTTTGACATAACCGATATTATTTGTACTTATTGATTCACCCATTTAAAAGCGATTTAACAATAAATTTAAAAATACGAATGGAAAATATTTTATTTCTTGCTGGTAAGTCCATGTACATTGGCACACTCAAATTAATATACTTATTTCAATAATTAGGCATTCCAAAGACCTGTCCAAATGGCTACCAGTGGGTACTGACAGTTTAGATATGGCAACCCTGTTGTCATTAACAGGGTCAATGATACATATATGTTATATACATTGCTCAAAGCTGGTCGTTTGCGAGCAGCCATATTGCCTGGCAAATATTTCAGACTTAAAAGATATTTAAAAAATAATAATTGCTTATATTTTTACTTCAAGGCATAAGCTTATGTTTATTTTAAAAAATAGGGATGATCAATCTATGTAACTATCTATTTCACTCACCTTGTCAAATCACCAGGCCTACAGAGTTGCCATAACTTTTCCACATCATAACCTGTCAAAACCCACTGGCAGTCATTCAGTTTGGAATGCCTAATAAATTAATTAATAATATGTCCATTTTTATTAACTTGTTACTGTTAGTTTCATTAGCTTAATTTAATATAAACGTAAAGGGTCAATAATGTCTCATTTTGTTACAAAATTTAGTATTATCAAAAGCGGATAATTAATTTTTATATTTGAAAACTTACCAACGTAAATAGCTGTGGAGTTATGATGTGGATCGTATGGACAGACGGCTTGTCCAGGTTTTTCTTTCGCCATTGTGTAGTTCTTCGTTAGGACCATATACTCTCTGCATTGTGGCTTGAACGCGTTAGTACCGCAAAGGAGTAGTTTTCCACCACTCGTTTTAGCCATGATTCGGATGTAGTTTTGACAGTTTTCCTGCAACAATTAAAAAACATTGAATGTCATATTTTACAATTAATAATCACATTTACGAATATAAAGTTGTAACTGGCAACAATGTCTGTAAAATGTAAAGAGCAATTTTTAACCTACTTCAAAAAGCAATGTTTGGACAATACCGAGTGGGCCACTCAAAACAGTCCACTCTGTTATTTGACAGTATTCATTGGGTTTTAAGAAAATGCTGTCGATTTTCATTCCAAACACATTTTTACAATACAGACATCTGTCATGTGCCAGTAATCCCTTAATTTTAAATAGGAAATATGTATACAATGTGTAGTACATCATTAAAAAGGTAATTTTATTGGGAATTCAGAAATTACTAATTAAATGCACCACCTAAACAATATTATAAATATATTCATATTGCACTTGCAACAGTTTGAAAATTAGTTATGCATTATTTTTAACATTATTGCTAAATTTATTTTGTTGCAACTGTAGTATGGAGATATTTAGATTAATGTTATGTGGTGCATTGAATTGGTAATAAAATTAGCTTTCAAATGAAGTGCCACATAAAGTAACGCAATGAACAGTCATATTTCTGAATCCCTATTTAAAATTAAGGGGTGAGAGAACTTCATCTTTTCCCACATCTCATCTTAGATTGTGAATTATTGTTGGACCTAGGCAATTATGTAAACAGTTCTAAATGTATTTTTTCTATATCTATGGTACCAACTATTGGAGTTAACTCCTGTCTTTTTTCCACGTATTTTAAAAATACGACCGAGGCTAATTCAACGGAACATAGCAAAATTGTCTTGGGACCTTCAGTGCAATAACTGTATATCAATTCGTATGGAGTGGCACTGACACGTAAACGTACATACAGTCCACCCGTAGGTACACTGTGCTATAGGTGGCAATACTCCAAGGACATTATAATATCTCGCGAACGCTGATAACGCGAGTTGATTTATCGGAAATGGTGCAGGAACTCAATTATTTATCGTTGTCTTAGGAGCGTGCTGCAGTTTGTGATAGAAACGACAGGGTTGGTTCATCAACAAGAGATCTACCATGCACGAGAATGTAGTGGCGTGTGGAGAAATTGGGAAATGAATAATGTGCATCTTTTACGTGACTATCTTATTTTTTGATTTTCTCTGGATTTTTATACATCAGGAAATAACAATCTAAAATTATATTTAAACGGAAAATTTATACAATATTTATTAAATTAGTATGGTCATTCAAAACGCCACCTTAGTTTTTACTTATGGGGCCTCAGTTATGCATTTCTGCCGACGAAAAACTTTCTTTTAACACTTTTCTCCGCGTTTACTATTATTCTAAATCCGAACAAGTGAAAATATTGTCTATGCATATGCGTGCAAATACAAGAAAGCCTCGATCGACTTGTGGTTATTATTTCATTTAATAATTTCTTCTGAGAACCCTATTAGGCCTTCCAAACAAAATGGTTGCTTATGGGCATTGATACGGTATCCCTGTGGGCCTAATGAATTTGACAGGATCAATTATATAGATAGTTATATAGATTGATCATCCATATGTTTTTCAAAATAAACATAAGCTCATTCCTTGATTAAAGGCTGAAAATTGGTTTTAAACATATTTTTGCTGAACCAATTCTGATTAATGAGGCAATATGGCCGCTTCAAATGCGACCTGCTTTGAGCAATCTATATAACTATGAATATTATTAACCCTGTCAAAGCCCACAAGCTGCAATTTTGACAGATCTTTGGATTTATCGGTTTAAAATGAAAAACAAAGGAAAAGAGAAAATCTCAAAGTCCGGTTTAACTTTAGTACTTTAAATATTGTTTTTAAAACGGAATGCATCTTGTGGAGTTTACTTTATGCACTGCAAGGATATTGATTTCACTATAATGATGGGCTTGCTTGTAAACTGCAAAAATGTAGATATTTTTTTCTATATTGCTGTTACTCTTAAATGTAAAAAAAATTATTTGTCCATTTTTATTTGAGTAGTTAATTATTGCAAGTGGAAATTATGAGTTTAAATAATAGCATTAGGACATGAAACAAATATGGATCTTACACGAATAACATACAGGGTGGTGAAGTAACGATAATTTTTGCACGACCTTTAACGAACTTCAAAAAAAAACTTGTAACTGAATTTTATATTAGGATTAATAAATAAAGGGCTTAAATATTATTTTTTTATGGTCAGGCTTCAGGACTAGATCACAAATATTTTACACATACGAGTAACGGGTAAAAGGCCAAATATTTTTGCAGGGGCAGGCGTACAGTGCACAGGGACCAAATATTTTTACTTAGACTTACAAATTAAAGGTTGCAGATATTTTTATATAGGTAATTTAAGGGGCGAAGGGCCTAAATGTTTTACATGGACAGACATAAGGTGTAAATGGGCTAAATATTTTTACATGGTATAAATAGGCCAAATATTATTATACAGTGCTTCTCAAAAGTCCCCTCCCCTCTTTTTTCTTTTGAACGGTGATTCTTAGACTGATGAAATTTGGAGGGTGAAAATGAACTATTGTAATTCTCTACTAGTGGTAACAGGTGACGTAATAGGCATCGGTGACGTCACCAGGCAACTGCAACCAATAATATTAAATAGAACCTTATATCAAGTGACACCTCGTTTGAAAGGTATTTAGAATACCTATTCAATCATACTATTTTTTTTTGGATGTACGATATCTTTGATGGTTAAAATAAGGTCCCATTTAATATTATTGGTATCAGTTACCTGGTGACGTCACCGATACCTATTACGTCACCTGTTACCACTAGTAGAGAAGATTCCAATAGTTCATTTTCACCCTTCAAATTTCATCAGTCTAAGTATCACCGTTCAAAAGAAAAGAGGGGGAGGGGACTTTTGAGAAGCACATGTAGACATAAGGGTTAAAAAGACCAACTATTTTTACATGGAAAGGCTTAAGAGGTAAAGGAGCCAAATATTTTTAGATGAATAGGGACGAAATATTTTTATATGGACAGGCTTAAGGAGTAAAAGGACCAAAAATAATTTTACATGACTAGGCTTAAGGGTTAAACGAACGAAATAATGTTACATATATAAATATTTTTACACTAGCAGCTTTAAGGGTCAAAGGTTCCAAATATTTTATATAAATTGTGCAAACAATTTATAAACCCTAATCAAAAGGCAACATAGTTTGTTTTTTATATTTTTACTACTTGTTAAAATATTTAATTTACATAAAAAATAATCGGGTTGGTAGCGTAGCTGTCTAACGCGCTTATATTCATTTATTGGCAAGTTTGCATGGTTCGTTATAGGATTTGATGTATGCCGTATTAATAGAAATTAATTTTGTGTTGATATGACATCCTGATTATAAATCGCCATGCGTTACAGTCTCGATGATGGTCGGTGAGGTTTTCCTCATCTGTAATTTAAATATCGCCATCAATCATGTTTAAGTCGCCCCGGAGCGCCACGACAAATAATAATAATAGCCGTCCCTTCCCCTACACAAGTCACTCAGTCGGCTTCAGGGGTTAAAATTCACTGAATTAGGGAGAGTATTATTATTTTTATAATTAAAAAGTATGTGCAAAATATCACATAATTTTTTTTAATGACCGTTTAAAAAATTAGACTATCTAATAAACAATACAAATTCTACTTCCATATAAAAACTAAGATTGCGCATGGGGTTATCTTTTGTTTATTTTAGTACCAAAAATATATACATTCAGATAAAATACAATAGGAAATGAAAATGTAAATAAACAAGAAATGTGTCGCTTTAAATTAAACATTATTATTTTCTAGTGTTCGCCCAATAGTGGTCAAATTTCCACCATAATCATTATAGAAAATTTGAGGAAAATGTATATGCATTTGCATGATTGTATCCCCTATCTAACAAAAAAGAATCTTAGAAATCGGAAAACAAAAAAATAAAGAGTTTGATGATTTTATTATTGCCCCTTATTATTAGATCTTGACCAAATTTATATGGGACCGCCCCTAAGGTACCCTCTTTCTATCAAAAAAAAAAAATCATAAAAATTGGACAACCTACTAAAAAATTATGGCTGAACCAAAAATATTCCGACGAATTAAGAACCTCTTCCTTTTTTGAAGTCGGCTAAAAATAAATTCAATAAAATAACAGTAACTCACAATTTTAAAACCTTTATTTATTGATATGATATGAAACACAATTTTTATTTTGAGGTTACTCTTGAGGCTCCTAAAAAAGGGGGGTTTGGCTGTGGGTAACCTTCATCGCTCTACTATATCCGCTTGCACTCATGAACCATATCGAAAATATTCATTAATCATTAACAACAAAAAAGGGGTGGGGGAAGGAGGTCGGCATACGCTTCGAATTTTTCTAATTTTTAAATTTTTTATACCACCAATATCTCAAAATACTCCAATTATAAAAAAAATCACCCCATCGTACCCGAAGTTCATTTTCCTAAGTATAGGAGTTCTATATATCAACCTCCCCTGGAGTGGGGGTTGAAGTAGGGGTAAGGGGAAGTTGGGCGCGTTAAAATCGTTTCAGGCGGTTTTTCTATTTTTTATCATTTAGACGTGGGGAAGTTGGAGAAATGAGGGGAAGTATTTTTTTCGCGAACCTCTATCCGTCCATGTAATATTGTGCATGTCGGTTCGAAATTAAAGGGGATTTATGTTCGCTATAGGTTAATTTTATTGGTCAGTCATAATTCACAATTGTGGAGTGGATCAATGGATTTCATATATCGAAGGTTGAGAAAAAAATACCAACTTTTTCTAAAAAATGTTTATGGGTAACACTAAAGCTCGTCAACAGCTACTAAGCAAAGTATAAAAAAGAAAATCGGTTCACAAACAGAAGAGAAAATGGTATTAAATCATTTTGTTTTCGCCTATTTATATATAGATGAAAACACGCAAAGGTGTAAAATGCACCATTTTCGAGATACAGGGTGTTGAAATTGTCACTGGAAAAAGTACGGTTTTGAGACGCCCATTTGAACCGCCAATGTTTTCTACACAAAAGAGATACTCTTGGTCATACGCTCTAAAGTCGACCATTTTCGAGA